AAGCGCCCCCCCCCCCCCCAGTCAAGTTATTTCACATTTCACCACGGTAAAAAAATTTTTTTTAAAAATCAAGCCTCTTTTTCTAACACACCTGTCCTTGTTGTAGGTACACTTTCCATACGGTACTAGCTCTACTTTCAATCCAAGGCATTCTCACCAGGTATCGTGCCACATAGACCAGAGGGCTCTAATCCGCGGACTCAACACATGTTTGTATTGCCATACCCCCTCGAAGCCACTTGAAACGATATGATATCACCCAACTCGGCGGTTCTAAATCTAAATTAGCCATCTAGGACGATTCAGCTGATTCAGATTCTTCAAGGGTACGACGAGTGCCGTCTGATAACCTTCTCAGTTGTGTCTACCCCCGGCCACCACCACCACCCCCTCCCCCCCATTTCCCTGTTTTCAACCTATATCCTCGGTATCACCCTTCCTCTCTGCATAACACCATTTATCTGCATTCTGTCTCTCTCTCTCTATGTCCCGTTCTCTCTCTCTCTCTCTCTCTGTCTCTTTCTCTCTCTGCCTCTTTCTGTCTCTCTCCTCTCTCTCTCCACCATCTCTCCCCTCTCTCTCTCGCTCTGACTCTCTATGTCTGTATATCCCCCTCTCTCTTTCCCTCCCTCTTCCCCCCCCCCTCTCGCTCTCTCTATGCAACCGCTATTCTTCTTTTCTTTTTTTTGTTTATTCCTAGAGCATTCGCACACGCACACACCAATGTCCTAAATCAGGGTTTCCCAAATGCCGGGTCGCAACCCGGTACCGGGTCACTTAAAGGAAAATTACCAGATCGCCAAAAGAAGTTAAAAAAAAAAAAAGTTTGGAAATCTGGGTTAAAATTACCGTGACGTACTCATTACTAAACGATTGGTCGTTGGGTTCCTTGACATTCTTGGATGAAACCTGTGCGGACGTTGATATAATATGTTATATGTTACATATAGGCCAGTACAGGCGATCCAAATCTTAGTGAGCCACTAAGAAGAAGTAAAAAAATGTTGTGAGCCACTAAGAAGAAGTAAAAAAATGTTGTGAGCCACTAAGAAGAAGTAAAAAAATGTTCACTCGGTGATTCTTCTTCATTTTTTTACAACACAGCCACTAAGAAGAAGTAAAAAAATGTTGTGAGCCACTAAGAAGAAGTAAAAAAATGTTGTGAGCCACTAAGAAGAAGTAAAAAAATGTTGTGGGTCACTGAGAAGAAGTAAAAAAATGTTGTGAGCCACTAAGAAGAAGTAAAAAAATGTTGTGGGTCACTGAGAAGAAGTAAAAAAATGTTGTGGGTCACTGAGAAGAAGTAAAAAAATGTTGTGAGCCACTAAGAAGAAGTAAAAAAATGTTGTGAGCCACTAAGAAGAAGTAAAAAAATGTTAGTGAGTCACTAAGAAGAGGTAAAAAATGTTAGTGAGTCACGAAGAAGAAGTAACAAATGTTAGTGGGTCACGAAGAAGAAGTAACAAATGTTAGTGGGTCACTAAGAAGAAGTAACAAATGTTAGTGGGTCACTGAGAAGAAGTAAAAAATGTTAGTGAGTCACTAAGAAGAAGTAAAAAATGTTAGTGGGTCACTAAGAAGAAGTAACAAATGTTAGTGGGTCACTAAGAAGAAGTAAAAAATGTTAGTGAGTCACTAAGAAGAAGTAAAAAATGTTAGTGAGTCACGAAGAAGAAGTAACACATGTAAGTGGGGCACTAAGAAGAAGTAACACATGTAAGTGGGCACTTAGAAGAACGTAAGTGGCTCACTAAGAAGAAGTAACACATGTAAGTGGGGCACTTAGAAGAAGTATTTATTATGCATGCGTAATAACCTCGCATAGAATGAATAGGAATGTTTAAAATATATCATTAAAATTACCCCGCCCCCCCCCCTTTTTTCGTATTAATCCGTCACAGACAGCAATTGTTGAAAAAAAAAAAGGGGGGGGGGGAGAAAGGGTCCATTCGATCTTGCAACAGGGGGTTGGGGCTGAGGTGGGAGTAGAGGGCAAATCGCTTTCAGCCGTCATTTTAATTCTTTGATCGGAGATCGAACGCGCGCCATGACACGGTCTATTGATTCCACTGAGCGGATAAGGCGGACAGAGCAGATATGAGCAGCATTGGCACGGACACAGTTCAAATTCACAGATCGATCGATATACATTTTCAACAGTGAAAATTTCCGATCAATCCATTCGGTTATCGATTAAAATCGATAATGATAAGTTAGGGAACGTATTGATTAGAAAAAAAATATTGCTTTCTTCGCCGTGGCCTCATTTTTCACACGCAAGTCACTGGAGACTGGATGTTGACTTCACGCTGGGTACTGGATGTTGATTTCACGCTGGGTACTGGATGTTGGTTTCACACTGGGTAATCGATGTGGACTTCACATTGGAAACTGTATGTTGACTTCAGATTGGATACTGGATGTTAACTTCACACTGGAGACGATGCTGACTTCACACCGGAGACTGGATGTTGATCTCAAACTGGATATTGGTTGTTGACACTGGATGTTGACTTCACACGAGACCAGATGTTGACTTCACACTGAAAGCTTGATGATCACACTGGAGACTTAGCGGTATGAGAAATGATAACGGATTATTTCAATATACCCAACAGGTGGGTCCAACTAACTCATTTATGTCACTGTAGTTTACCCTGTACTAACAACCGCAATTTG